CCATCCGGTTAGAGAAACAAACAAAACAAGGAGCGAGATATTACAAAATAAAATAGGGGCAATCTCTAATGTGACCTACGTTTGTCAAACTGAGTGCTAAGCTTACAGACGGACAGAAACGCCTCGTCTCGAAGAAACTCGTGCCTAGGTACCCAATTTCTGGGTACACTTATTAAGTCCCCATTGGAGAGGGCGGCGGTGGTCTGTTCAAAGAACTTAGACTCTATTATTCGCGCATAGTCCTCATCCGGGACACGAGGCTTTTTGCACTTGTGACCCAAAAGGGCCGGCTTCCGGTTGTATACCCTATACTCCTGGTTCTCCGCCTGAGTAGGGGCGGAGACCAAGTAGAACCTGTTCTTCCAGTCGGACCACTTAGACGGCTTGTCTAAAGTCATCAGGTACTAGGGATAGGTGGTCAATGTGTACCAGGCCCTCCAACCGCCTGGACTTCTGCTCAAGTAATGCATGTGAGCGAAAGCCTCCCATCCGGGGTTGATTTCTTGCATCTCGTAGGCGGCAATGTAACCCAATATGTTAACCCATGAGTTGGGGGTTAACTGCCAAATACCAAGGTCATATCCTCGAAGGATGGCCTTTATTGTATTATGAAGGGGGAAGCGGAGACCAGCTAGGAATGCCGCTTCATAGCAGCCAAAATATCTGTTTGCATTAGGCTGCTCGTCTTCCAAAACAATAGTGCCCATCTCAGGCGGCACAATTATTTTCCATTTCTTCCCAAGCGGGCGAATTTTTATAAAGTCCTCCAAATTATTGGTCATGCTTGCCCTATCCTTGGCAGAGACGGCGATGAGGAATGGGTCGCCTTTATTATTCCAATTAGGCCTTTCCTCTGCCTCGCTATCAGCATCCGGCGTCAAGAGGCTGCTGCTGCTGCCACTCTGCTCTCTACCGGATGAGGAGGTGGTCGCGTCGTCGCTGGCACCCTCTTGGTGTTCCAGCTCAACTTTAGAAGGCGAGGCGGCATCTTCGTCGCCCCCCATTCCTATTCCTAAAATCCCATCACTGGGAGTGCTTGGGGTGCCAGGCGGAGAATCCCTTGTCCCCTCTGTCTAACAGGGGTCACGCGGCAGCTCGCCTGAGTCTGCCTCTTTGTACTCTGGATCGAAGGCAGTTGTTTTTATGCGAGCCATTGCGTCCTGCACAGAGACAGAGACGGTCGGTTTTGGAGATGAACAAGGAGACTCCCCGTACCCAGAGGCGGCACCCCCAGTCCTAGACTCAGCCGTACCAGGAGACCGGCTGACCTCTAAATTGTGGTGTGCCGTGTGTGTAATGGGTGAGGTCATTATTTTAAGGTATTTACAGCCAAAAGATTCAAAAATAAACTCCAAAAAATACAAGGAACCAAGACGTTACCTTAAGATTGAATAGAAGTTTGGAGACGGTTGTTAACCAAAGATACCCCAAACGTTATCACTTTGAGCAAACTACAAATTGGCAAAAGAAGGAAAATTAATCACCAATGTTGCCCAAAGATACCACAGGCGGGAAAAGCCGGTTGGGTAAGATTTGCAGAGGCAAATAATCTGGGATTTTTGTCAGATTGTCCAAAGACCCCCCAGTCGGCATAAACCGGCTGAGTTTCAAAAGAAGACAACTCAAAGAAATAGAAAGAAACCAACACAGGCGGCCTGAAGGCCAGCTGTGTATCCGTTAAGAAGAAAAGGTTGTTTGAAGGCACCCTAGGCAGCAAAGACCGGTCAGGGGTTCCAGCAAAACAGTTTAGAAGGGAATTGCTTGCTCACCCCCCAGACGGTGTGAGACCGGTTGGGAAAACAGCAAGGCAGGCCAAAAGAAAGTTTGATCAAAGATACCCCAGATGGTTTTCACCGGCTGAGGGCCTATTGAATGCAACTCACCAATGAGATTTCTTGAAGATACCTCAGACAGTTTTCACCGGCTGAGGGCCTATTGAATGCAACTCACCCATGAGATTGCTTGAAGATACCTCAGACGGTTTTCACCGGCTCAGGGCCTATTGAACGCAACTCACCAATGAGATTGCTTGAAGATACCTCAGACGGTTTTCACCGGCTGAGGGCCTATTGAACGCAACTCACCAATGAGATTGCTTGAAGATACCTTAGACGGTTTTCACCGGCTGAGGGCCTATTGAACGCAACTCACCAATGAGATTGCTTGAAGATACCTCAGACGGTTTTCACCGGCTGAGGGCCTATTGAACGCAACTCACCAATGAGATTGCTTGAAGATACCTCAGACGGTTTTCACCGGCTGAGGGCCTATTGAACGCAACTCACCAATGAGATTGCTTGAAGATACCTCAGACGGTTTTCACCGCCTGAGGGTCTATTGAATGCAACTCACCAATGAGATTGCTTGTTTAATGCCCCAGACGGTTTTCACCGGTTGAGGGTCTATTGAGTGCAACTTCAATAAGTGTTAGAGGATAACTCAGACGGTCTACACCGGTTGAGATTTTCAATAGACGCAATTTATAACAAAATTGCCTAAAAAAGCTCCAGACGGCAAAAGCCGGCTGCAGCGTAATCAAACATTCAATCAAAAAGACCGATTGAGTCAGAAGGAAACCTTAGTGAGACGGACTGCGTAACTCAAGCGGTATTCGGAAGAAGAAAGGCTCTTTGCACGAGCAAGCAGGCGGGGTCAGGAGCTCTCGTTTTTTCTCTCAAGAAACTTCTCTCAAAAATAACAAAGTGAGAAATGAAAGGAGGGGGATTCCTATTTATAGGAGATCTCAGAAGGTGAACCGTCACCTCTTTTTTCCCCTTAGTTTGAAATTTGAAAAAAAAGAGAGGGAAGAAGGCGAATTGTCGCCCTCCTACCCGGTTGGCACGTGTCACAGGTGCCACGTGGCATAGCCACGTCAGCACCAGTGAGGGGCAAATGTTTAGGGTAAAAATTACCCTGAACACGTGGCCCTATAGGGGTCTGACACGTGTCATCGCCCTATTGCACCATGGGCATCCAACCAATGGATGCCACGTGGCATTGTACCCCCAATGGGGGAGTAGATCCATCTGCTATAAATAGAGGAATCTACCTCATTTATTGATATTAAAAAAAAATACTCACACAAAACCCGAGCAGTATTAATTGCGGAATCTCCCGGAATCCGAGAGAACCAATTTACCTCCCGTGCGTAATTTCATCCGGAATCATACTAACTTGACCTTCGGAGGCGGAACTCCACCCAACCGGAGTTTCGTGGTTTTGCAGGTACAGAAGTCAGGCGTACATTCCCGGTGCTGTAACTCTCCCGTAGGACACCTCAAGAAAACCCCGAAACAACGGTGGTTCAGTGGTTGTGATGATGGTGGAGTGCTTTCACGTTTGACATCGATCGCCGATTGAGTGATCTCTTCTCTTGGAAGTTGCCTCCATTGCTGAGAAATTGAGAAGAGTGAGGATAGAGAAAGTTGGATGGAAAATGTTGTTGTTAACGGCGTGAATTGTGTAACTGTGAGCTGGAGTAATGATATGGCAAGAATGCCAACTGTCAAATGGCAAATTTACCATACCGTCCCTAATTAAATGATGGAAATCTCATTTACACCCTCTTGATTGACAATTTTTGTTGATCAAGAAGATCAACAAGTATTTCCTGCTAAGGACGTGGGATAAGATAACTAAAAGTAGAAATATTAAATTAAAATGAACATTAATTACACTGATTGACGCGTGATTTTGACAAGTATTCCCAAATTAATACTAATTTAAAAAGTATTTTAAATAATTATCTAATATACCGAGACGTTCGTTAGCAAGATCTAAAAATTCTCCTTGTATGGAGGATTTTTTTTTAAGGATTTGTAAATGTTCAATTTTTATTACGGATTTTTCATGAAATACCACTGAGTTTTTCCAAAATTCACCATATACCACACAAAAAATTTTAATTCACCATATAGCATTGAGTTTATGTACATTAACACAGAATGCCATTTTTTCTAACTGCCATTAATGCCGTTAGTAATTAAGGCTAATTGTGCCACGTGGCAGCCTGTAATTGGTTCTTATTAATATTATTTAATTACTTAAATAAAAAATAAAAAAAAAACTATTAACCACCACACCGCAACCCAGCCACCCACCATGCCCCCAACCCCCGGCCTCCCCATGTTGGCACTTCCAGCCCTAAACCCCACGCCGGTGCCACCCTAACCTGGAACCTCCCGTCGACGTCTTCCTCTTTCCCAAAATCACCATCATCTCAATCAAAATCCCCATCCCTCCCTCGAAAAGCCTCCCTCCCAACCCGTCGGCCGTCCAAACCCCCTACCAAATGCCGGCAAACCTAATTCGGCCTTACCCTTGCCACCTCCACCCTCCTCCTCCCCTGAATCACCACCTCGAAACCCTAAAACCAAAATCTAGGGTTTCGATTTTGGGGTTTTAGGGTTTTAGGGTGGTTATTTTCAATTAAACTAAGGGAGGGGAATTTGAGTTCGCCGACTAGGGGACAGGGGTTTGGGCACTGGCCGGTGATTAGGGGAGGGTTTTTCGAGGGAGATATGGGTTTTTAGGGTTCGGGAACGGTGGTTCAAGGGAAGGGGAGGAGCGCAGGGGTTTGGGAACGGTGGTTCAAGGTTCTGTTCGGATTCCACATTGGCGCAAGGGTTCCGGATGGTTTTCACACCGGCGCCGGGGTTCTGGTCTGATTCCGCGCCGGCGGGGGTTGTCAAGACAGGGTTGTGGCTGGCTGCCACGCCTTTGGGTAGTTGGGTTTGGGTGTTCGGTCAGAGGAGAGAGAGAGAGGAGAAGGTGGCTGTTTTTTTTTTTTTTTTAAATTTTTTATTTAAGTAATTAAATAATATTAATAAAAACCAATTACAAGCTGCCACATGGCACAGTTAACCTTAATTAATAACGGCGTTAACGACAGTTAGAAAAAATGGCATTCTGTGTTAATGTACATAAAATCAGTGTTATATGGTGAATTAAAAATTTTTGCGTGGTATATGGAAAATTTTGAAAAAACTCGGTAATATTTCATGAAAAATCCGTTTTTATTATCTTTTCGATAAAAAAAAAAAAAAAAACTCTAGTGGACCGGTATGGAGTCTACAGGCTACGGAGTATATTGTATCAATACGAGAGTACCTCAATAGTAGGGTTTATCAAAAACAATCAAAGCTTGCAGGGTTTAGCTTGACCTCAAAGCTCAGGAGCTCCAACAATGGCGAGATCGGCAAGGTCCTCAGTTTCTCGCCTCTACTACACCCTTTTCACTTCATCTACTCCCCACCAAACCCAATATCGGTCATCTCCATTCCTCCACCGCCATTTCCGATTATTCTCCGCCGGCAGCGCTGCCCGCGTCAAAGAAGAGAAAGGCTCTCAATTGCAGGACTCATTATCGAAAGTCCGAAACATCGGAATATCGGCGCATATCGATTCCGGAAAGACCACATTGACGGAAAGAATTTTGTATTACACTGGAAGAATTCATGAGATCCATGAAGTTAGAGGAAGAGATGGTGTTGGTGCGAAAATGGATTCCATGGATTTGGAGAGAGAAAAGGGGATTACTATTCAATCTGCTGCTACTTACTGTACTTGGAATGGTTATCAGGTATGGATGATTAGCACAATTTAGAATGTTTTCATTTTTTTTTTGTTATATGTTTGAAGTCAATGATTTTATTTGTTGATATATGGGGTTTGTTTGAGTTATAGTTGTATTTGATTTGTTCATTTGTTTCCTGTTATGTGCTGAAGTCAATACTCTGATTTTTTGATTGATATATGAGGTTGGTTTGAGTTATAATTTTGTTTGATTTGTTCTTGAAAGTGGGTTTGATTTTGAATGTAACAACTCATAACTAGTTATTATTAGTAGAAAAAAATGTGAAAGCTTGCTGTAGTAATTTTACAAGTTGGGTATAAAAATTATGTATAATTGTTTGGGATAGTTGATTGAAGTTTGATTGTTTTTTTAAATGTTAAAATACCTCATAAAAGAAATTGTTATTTTTTGGGTTTGTGGGTTTATTTTTTAGTTGGACTTTGATAAAGGAAAACGAGTTTGGGTTCCGCATGGGTGGAGTAAAAGGGTTTGTAATTTAGGGTCCTTTGCTCAATTTTTGAAAGAGCAAGTACTTTAGGAATTATTGGTGGACTGGTGGTGTAGGGTTCCTGGTGGGTGGGGTATGTCGGGTTTTGATGGAAATTAAAGGGGTGTTGATGGTGGTGGTCAGAGTGTGGATGGTGACTATGGTGGTGATCAAGGTTTGCCAAGAGTGACGATGGTACAAACTACAAAGGAGTTTGGGTTGGGTGTGTCAGAAAAGACGTGATACTAAAGGTGACTATGGTGGTGAATTGGTGACTTTAAACTTCACATTTACGGTCGAATGAGAAGGTTTTTTGAACGATAAGGATGAGAAGAATAGATGTACAACTATTTTTTTAAATTGAGTGTTCAACTTTTTAAAAACTGAAGATTGAAATTTTTTTTTATTTTTTATTATGCTTATTCAGTTCAAAATGATGCATCTAACAATTGAGCCAAAATTATTTGCACATTTTATTCAAAAAATATATGCGGAGTATATAAACATAGCATTATTAATGCAAAATTATCTTAAGGGTATTAGCATCTTATATGATAAGTTGAGGTGCATGAAAAAGGAAAGACATCTCCATCAGTTTTCTTAATTATTGAAATTAAGAAGGCATTTTGGGGCTCCATTGTTTAATTAGATCTTAATGTAGTGTGTAGCTTACTTCTCTATTGGATGGTAAATGGGACCTTGAAAACTTGTTTACTTATGTATCTTTTACTTTAACATTTGTAAAAGCTGAATTTAAGGCTATTAACTTTTGTAACAGTGTAGTGAACCCTTGACCCTGCACTCATTCGATAAAAATTGAACTGCTCTTCAAAGTACAAAGCAAAGGGCCAGCGAGTGGTTTCATGACACAATAATTGCATCTTTCTTTGATCAAGTTGCTTGGAAGTGTGTTTAGTATGATTATATCTTATCACAGGAAAATCTAAGAATGAGTTGTATCATTAAAATTATATCTTGATAAACCTTTGATTAGTTTGATGATACTCTAACTTAAGCTATTAAGCTGACAGTTTATACGACTTTTATATTAAATTTATCTCTTAGTCCATGTGCCAATGCAAATTGTTTGTGTTAAGTAAGTGACTCTTATGCAATGTGGTTATTACAGTTTTTCAAGATTAGTATTCATTTCTAGTATTCTAAAACCTTATATTTCAGGTCAATATCATTGATACTCCGGGTCATGTTGACTTTACCATTGAAGTAGAGCGTGCCTTGCGTGTCCTTGATGGTGCCATTCTCGTCCTTTGCAGTGTTGGTGGTGTTCAGAGCCAATCGATTACTGTTGATCGGCAAATGAGGAGGTATGAAGTTCCAAGAATTGCATTCATTAATAAATTGGACCGAATGGGAGCTGATCCGTGGAAGGTTCTTAATCAGGTATGCTATATCTCTTATAATTTGAGGTGCAATACTGTATTACGATATAGGTATATTTTTATTATTTTGCTTTTTTGAGTTCATACTACTCGATAGCCTCAAGTATTCACATTTGATGAGTGTATTGGTTACTCAATTCTTAGGTAAGCAACATTAAGAATATGTTAGAAATTACTTAAATATTATATACTAATAGCTACTATTTCATTGGTGTTGTGAATAGACAAGTGACATTACATTATATAAAAAGTGATAAAAATGTTGAATAAGTGTAGTTATTTAAGTGTAGTTAGTAGGCTGTAGGCTGCAGGATGTTAAATCTATTCCATCGTCTACTAGGGATTATGTTTTGGAATTCTTTATCTGATTTGAACTCCGTGTATAAAGAAGACAAGCTTTTGAGTCACCCTGAATTGCCTTACAGCATATTAATGGCTACTGTTATGACAAGAAAAACCATTGTTTTGTAGAATGGGAATTTTAGGCATTTATAATTCTGGTCACTCTCATGTGTGCTCCACTCTACTGTGTGATTGTAGGAGCCCTACTTTGTGGCTTTTCCATCTGTGATTTAAGCTGGTTGTATTGGTAATACCTTTTCCAAATATGTGTTATTACCAATGGCCCTTTTTGGCCTGCCAAATAGGATATTTGGGCTAGAATTTAGAAAGCAGACAAGACATTTGTGAAGAGCTATGTTAGTCGCTGCATATTTGCCAAAGTACCCAAACATGGATCCGGGTATGGAAAATGAGTAAGTTAGGATAGTTTGCATTCTAATACTATTATGTCTGGTATACAAGCCAGAAATCAAAGAAAAGGGAAGGAAATTTGGGCACTTAAGTTACATTAACATGAAAAGAATGAAGTTTTCTTGATGTAGGGTTTGATGGAAAGTCCCTAGATCTATTGATTAATCAAAGATGAAATCCATCTAAAGAAGCAACTAGACATAGTTTTTTTTTTTTTTTTTTTTTTTCAATGGAGAGAGACAAGTCGGTTGTCTTCTTCGCCATGTGTTTTCTCTCTCTTCCCTTTGTGCAGTTGGTAAATTCATATTTTTTGCTTTCTTCTTCTTTTTCTTTGTTATTCTATTTTATTTTATTTTTTTCAAGTTGTTAGAATACTCTCCTTAAATTGGTGATGACTATGCTAGTGTCTGAGGTCAGTAATCATTAGTTCGGGCTTTGAATTGGGCTTAAAATTATACTCTGTTTGTCTTGGGAAACTTGTTAAAATTTCCTTTTTCATCTGTCCCAAAATACTTGTTACACTTCCATATTAGACTGACCCCTCCGATACTGTATCTTTGAATAAACTATTAAGGGCTCGAGATAATTGGCTTTAGCCCTTCTTTATGTCTATGGTTGATACTCCTATGGCATATTTTGAAATTTTCTCTAGTACTGATAATAGAATGCTCTGCAGAATTTAGTTTGTTAAAATATGTGTAATTTGGTCTTATATTTTTATATTAGACAGAGAACTTGCAAGACTAGCTTGCTGCTGAATAATTTTTCTCATTCACAGGCTAGGTCAAAGCTTCGGCATCATAGTGCTGCTCTGCAAGTACCAATTGGCCTGGAAGAAGATTTTCAGGGTCTTGTGGATCTTGTGCAATTAAAAGCTTATTATTTTGAAGGATCGAGTGGGTGTGTATGCTGTATTTTTCTTTTGCATCTTGTTACATTGCAATATAAAGACTTCTTATATAATTAATGTTTAATTTGCAGGGGAAAAGTTGTCACCGCTGAAATTCCTGCAGATATGGAAGGTTTAGTGGCAGAAAAGCGGCATGAGCTGATAGAGGCAGTCTCTGAGGTTGATGATAAATTGGCTGAGTTGTTTCTTGCTGATGAACCCATATCATCTTCTGATCTTGAGGTTAGTTGGTGATATTAAACTCTAATGTCCTCGATACAGACTCTAAAGAAGTTGAAGTATGAATGATTTTATTAAGCATTTTGAAGTTCTTCGAAAGCGTAGATCTCCAGCTAAAACTAAATTTACTGTATACTTATATCAAGTGTCGAGATTGCTGTAAAAATTATTTTATAATTGGGAACTGCAGAAAGATTTTAGCCAAATCTCAGGATACTGTGTTCATGATTATAAACTCCTTTTTTTTTTTTTTTTTTTTTTTTTTTTTTTTTGTGGGTATTGCTTTAGTTGTTGAGGCTCTGGCAGTATAAGGCCAATCAGAAATTCAGCTTTCTTTGTTTGTGATCATTATCTGTGTGGGGATACTGAACCTCATTGACCTAGATACATGTCTTCTGTTCTGAAATCAACAGAGATCTAACAAGGAACATAAAGGAAGGAGCAGTCTGGGTGGCGCACTGCTTCCTGAATGTTTATGGATGGAAAACATTTTTTCATTCTTGCTTCTAAATCCGAGGTGTAACTTTCTTTGTTAATCATTGTTTCTTTTGAGGGGAGAATACCTAGTGATAGCTTAAATAAGCTGTAATGATACAACATATTGTTATAGGATTAGGAAGCTGCCTTCAAGTACAAACAACATTTCAAAACAGTACATGAAGCTTACTGCTCTATTGTAATAAGTTTCTCTGAAATCTCGTGTCAGACCTTTGTTATAAATCAAGTCTCAATAAAAGTTTTTGGAACATCTGACTTGGAACAATTATCACTTCTTCCTGGATAGAGCATTATAGAGTGTACCCAAAAGAGCATCAAAGAATTTCATCAAAGATTATACTTTCATGTCTCTCTAAAACTAACAAAGACGTTTCGAGAGCCTCTTGTTCTGCTAAATTGCAGTACATACTTGTATCATTTCTAGTTTTGGGAGCTGAAGTTTACATTTTTATGTTTCCTTTTAGATAATCTGCAGCTGCCTTTTTTTTTGGGACTAATGTTTTGTTGTTGTTGTTGTTGTTGTTGTCATTGTTGTTTTACTGGGATGAACATCCTAGCTTCATTTTCTTGATTGAGAATGTGAATTTGAAGGGAAAAAAAAGAAGTTATGAGTTATGACATCAACATATGAATGAACTAACTACACATGGATCCTCATATAGGGTTAAATATGGCTACAATTTGGCTCCGAAATTACTTATCTAGGGCTTTGAGTACGTCCGGAAGTAGATTAATTGAGTTGCTCAAGCGGAATAACATATCACCTGAATAGACAACTATCTTGTCAAACTGTCAAAGCCTAGAAAGATCCTTCATTATGGAAATCTTCTTGTCTTTATATAGTCTCTTTGAACCCTGATTTCTGACTGATTGTTATGGCTTCAGGTGGAGCCCGTAAGCTAGCTTTTGCTTTTTACAAGTTGCACTTGACAACATTCTTTCAAGAATGATTAATTTATTGCTTCGTAACTAAAAGTGTGCTCATTGTCAGCCTTTGATTTCCCCCCTTTTCTTTTCAAGAAATATCTGTTAGTTTCCCAACATTACATTGAAAGATTGTTGAGTTTGCAGTAGCTCCTGAAGTATTGAAGCTACTGATTGTTGGACAAAATTATCTTCCTGATTTTAGTTTCCTCTAGAAACATAGATGAGTAAAGCGCAAAGCATGCTGAAATACCGGAAAAAGGTTCTAGTTTCTATCCCTTACCTGTCTTCTTGCTGCGAGCTGTGCTGGACATGTTTGAAGAATGTAGGCAACATTCATCTTGAATCCGGCAGACTAATGAGCCATCTTGTAGTTGCACAAAAGTTTTATTTACGAAATTTGTTGTGATGGATGTTGCTCTTGGCTTGCTGTTTTTTATTTAATGGACAAAAGTCTATTGACTGGCCCTATCTCTTCTGTTCATGTATCACTAAAATTTACTGATTAGCCAGCATAAAAATTTGACATACTTTTTAAGTTCATCTTTTATTATTTTTTCTTGTGAACTCTGTCATGCTCTCAGCAGGAGAAAGTTATTCGTTCTAAATGTTATCTTTCCTATCTTAGAACTTTTCTTGTTATGCTATGAAATGGTAAATTGTTCTTTTATGTATTTATTATGGATTTTTATTTCTTTTGTAGGAAGCAATACGTAGGGCTACTGTTGCCCGGAAATTTGTCCCTGTATTCATGGGCACTGCTTTCAAGAACAAGGTATTTGGATCGATGCCCTTTTTTCTTCAATCTCTCTCTCTCATGCTGCTTTGTTTATATTGAATTGTTGTATAATATCCCCACCCCTATCTTGATGTGCAACCTATTTTCTTTTCTATTACCATACATGTATTCAGTGTTGCTGTTTCCATATGGTCTCATAGACATACTGCCCTCCTAAGTGTTTTGTTGCTATCAAGGCATAGAGTTGCTGGCTCTTTCTGTTACTAGAAGACCAATGTGTACCAAATTGTTTTGTGCTCCTTTCTGTTGCTTGTATCATTATTATTTACTTAGCTAAAGGTTTCAAGACTTTTTTTTAATGAAAAATTCGTTGAATTTCTTATCGAGTTAAAAATAGCTGTTGAGGTTTGCATATGTTTGCTGTTAATGTATATTTTTTTACATTGATCGTAGGAGGATGATTTAGATAAAATGCCAATAAGGCAATAGGAAATAAAATTTTGCTAATATATGATAAGTAAGCTGATTATTATTTATCGATGGCTCTGCTTTGTATTTTCTAAACATTCTTGTATGTCTTAAATAACAGGGTGTTCAGCCACTTCTTGATGGAGTTCTCAATTACTTGCCGTGTCCTACTGAAGTCAACAACTATGCTTTGGATCAAAATAATAATGAAGAGAAGGTAATTGTCCGGTAGTAGTAAATAAGCAGTTAAAAATTAGTTTGTCAAGTGATTGTTTTACACATCAATGATAACTAAGTTTTTTTTGTTTAGGTATTGTTACCTGGGTCTACAACAGGACCTCTCGTAGCACTGGCTTTTAAATTGGAAGAAGGACGATTTGGTCAATTAACATTTTTGAGGTACTTATAATGCCTTTTTTTTTTTTTTAATTTTTATAGATAATTAATGTTGATGCTTGTTTGTTTGTTGATGTATCCAAGTTTCGAACTACGGGTCATATTTATTCTGGTGGTAACGATCCATATATTCGTCCAGACAAATTAAACACTAGAAATTCCGTCTTTTTAAACCTGACTTTAAAATATTGCTGGTGTTCGATTTTGGTGCAGAATATATGAGGGCGTCATCAAGAAAGGGGACTTCATACATAATATCAACACTGGAAAGAGACTTAAGGTATATATGTCTGATGTTGCCATTTGGTGTTACTTCTTTACAGAGTGGTATGGGTCAAGGTTCCCAACGCCCATATTAGTATGATGTTCATCAGAAAGGGGTGAGACTGGTTTAAAATATGAAAAATAATCTTAATGTAATGTACTTGGTAGCATAAATCTTCCACGATTCCATCTACAAAAAGAAATTTTACAAACTAGAACTCAGAATTAAACAGGATTGCACCTCGTACCCCCCTCTATTGTGCATAGGGAACTCATTCTCTGAGTTTTTATTCCTACTTCCTCCATTTCAAATTGGCTGATACATTTTTACTTCAGACACTGTTCACAAACGCTAATTCAACTAGCTTTTTTGATTTAAAAAAACTTATTCATGGGATCTTTTCAGATTCCTCTCAATGTGTATATTCTAAATTAACTTATTTTATTTTTTTTAAATAAATTTTATTAATTGATGAGATATTTACGGTTATTTTATGCATTGGCATACGTAATCTTAGAAATGTGTCTAATAAATTGGATTGGAGGGAATATATATTGTGCTTCCCTTTTCTAAAAATATGTGGACTATCTGATTCATCTCCACTCCTTCCTTATTTGCTCATGAGGCTATGGAAAGGACATTAATTTTCTACCTTCATTAATGCCTTTTTCCTTTGGAGATTAAGGGTTGGTTGTTCAACCTTTTTATTGTTAAATTACACTACCTTGGCGCCACATATATTGGTATTTCTCTTATTTGCTTAGAAGTTAGAATTGGACACTATTATTCTAAATTTCTGCGTTATATTTACTGAGTATTTGAAGTATCTTTGTTACTCCCAATTAAGTGTCCCATTTGTCTTTTGCTCGCTTTTAAGGGAGGTGAATAAATAAATAAGATAGTGAGGTTTGGTTGATTAAAGATGAATATAACAAACAAGTTAGTGTGGTTTGGTTGGTTAAATGTGAATTAAAAAAAAATAGTGGGTTTTGGTTGATTTAAAATGAATAAAGAAAACAGAAAAAGGTAAAATGGTAGTTTTATTTAGAGACGATGTTTTAAGGAGAAAAGAGACTTTTATTTGGGGACAGGGAGTATCTGAAATTGTTTGTTTTTTGAATCTGTAGTAGTGGTTGTATTAATTGTATAAATGTATACTATTGACTCTATTAAATTGTGCCTTTTTTTTCACCTTTTCTGCATTGACATCAGGTTCCTCGCCTTGTACGGATGCATTCTAATGAGATGGAGGTTAGTGCTTTGTCAATAAGATCCTCTATATGCATTTTGTCATTGAATGTTCTTGTCAACAAAGTGAATTTTTTGACCTATGCATAGTCAAGTCTTGATGCATCCTTTCTACCTTAGTAAGAGATTTTTAGATTAAGAAATTTTATTGTTTGACACTGTTAGTTTTTTTACTAATACTTTCACTTGGGATATCTCATGTAATAGGACATTCAAGAGGCACATGCTGGACAAATTGTTGCTGTATTTGGAGTCGATTGTGCTACAGGTCTATATACTTTCTAAGATTGCTATTGAGTGATTATCCCTTCCTTTGTCCTTGTATGAATCTATTAGGGGTTACTGATAAATTGCACATCATTAGTTGAACTTAAGTTTTATTTACAAATGATTGCTTTTTAATTTTGAACAGTACTCTATGTATAATTATATTTATAGACTACTAGGGTTGGGATATAATGAAAACATCTTAAAGCAAGAAGGATGACAACAATGAAAATAAGTGTCGAGAGAAAATTTTCTTCACTTTATATGATAACCATATCTAGAACAAGTCAAGATGGAGAAGAAGCTTAAAATGGCTTAGGCTTTATCACACGCTTTCAAACAGAGTCGAGAAAGAGATAATTGGTCTATTTAGAACTATTACTTTGGAGTAGCATGTTGGATTCTGCGATCTACCCAGGCACGACATCCAAATCCGAGTCTGTGTAATATAGTTTGTGGGACTAAGTGTGGAAATTGTTTTTGGCTATATTGTTATGTGCATAATTTTGAACCAGATTGCATATATTTTCAAAAAAATTATTTTAATTTTTCCTCAATTTTATTTATTTATTTATTTTTATGCATATTTAGTTAAAGAAAAAAAATTACACATATCTTCTTATGACATGTCCTATATTTCTTTATGACATGTCCTCTATTCTATATTTCTTTATGACATGTCCTAAAAGATAAATTTAAAAACAGGGAAGTTTAGAACTTTGAATAAATTTTGTCCATTTCCCCTTTTGATTCTCTTTTAACCCTACAAGCCTCTTTATTAATGTTTAGATATAATTATGTTTCAGGTGACACTTTCACTGATGGAACAGTCAAGTACACTATGACTTCTATGAATGTTCCTGAGCCAGTGATGTCATTGGCTGTTTCACCAGTTTCTAAGGATTCTGGAGGGCAGGTGAGTACTGGGGACTGGCAATTCTTGATGCAGGTGTGGTACTGCCTCATCTAACTGATGCATCTGTTATTGACAGTTTTCAAAAGCATTGAATCGTTTCCAGAAGGAAGATCCAACCTTCCGTGTGGGGTTAGATCCAGAGAGTGGGCAGACGATTATTTCTGGTATGGGAGAACTACATCTATCCATTTATGTTGAGCGCATCCGAAGAGAGTACAAGGTACTATTTACAATAAAGCTCATGGTATTTAAAAAATCACGAAGTATAAAGTGTGTATATTATATCAGGATTTAACCTTTTTTCGATGTAGGTTGAAGCACAAACAGGAAAGCCTCGTGTTAATTTCAGAGAAGCTATTACTCAACGTGCTGAATTTGATTATTTGCATAAGAAGCAAAGTGGAGGTCAGGGTCAATATGGAAGAGTGTGTGGGTAAGAAGAAATTGTTTGATTTTTTTTTTGGTGCAAGGATCCTTAAATTGGAGCTTTTGAAGATATTTTAACGTGCCTGTGAAAATGAGTTTTCCTGCCACCCCCTCTCAAACCAAAATGGAAAAGAATGCCATCTCCTAGAAAAGATGATATATAAGAGGGTAAAGAAAGAAATCATCTAGGCAATTTTACCAAAATCTGAATATTATATAATTTTCAAATGCTATAACCTAGTATATACATTTCTTCCACATGCCAGCGGATGTCATAATTTTTCAATATAGGTCTCCGAAGAAACTAATACATAGATATTTTGGCTCTCATTTCACTCACAACTCCGATACACCCTAAATAGATATAGTGGAAAGCTCTCCACTGATCTATGAAGGTACCTAAAAAAGTTGGGTAGCTGGAAATGCTCTTTACTTGGGAGTTCTGTAATTGTATGTTGCATTTTTCAAGCTACTCTTTATGTTGTTTTTTTGCAGTTATGTTGAACCACTTCCTATGGGATCGACAACCAAGTTTGAATTTGAAAACTTGATAGTAGGACAAGCTATCCCCTCAAACTTCATACCAGCAATTGAGAAAGGATTTAGAGAAGCAGCAAACTCGTGAGTCCTCATTTGTTTATTTTATCATTTAAAGATTTACTTTAACACATTCTTTTGAAAGGATTGGATGTTTATAGTTTATTTATTTATTTATTTTTTAATGTAATTTTTACGTATTAAATTTATTTTGGGTATGTTTTAGTGCTTCTTGGCAATAAGTTTGGTTGGTTATTGAGAAATTAACTTTTTTTGTTTAGGGGTTCCCTTATTGGACATCCGGTGGAGTATGTTCGTGTTTGTTTAACTGACGGTGCATCCCACGCTGTGGATTCTAGTGAACTTGCATTCAAGTTGGCTTCAATATATGCCTTTAGACAGGTTTTTTCATGTCCCTTTTTTAAATTCTGCTTCAATTGCAATTTGTTGGTCCCTTTTTTTTTTGCATTTTTGATTTTCCAAAAATTAGGCATTAAACAGTAATATTTCCAAATAATGCATATGTTAATTCTCACTTAAATATACAATAATGATTCAGTGAGTTATTTTTATTGTGTAATCTGTAAAATATTTTGCTGTACTCTGTTATCGTTTTTGTTGTTATTGTTTGGTAGTATGTTGATAATGTTGGAAATCATCAATGTTAAATGAATCATTTTTTGAATTTAGTATTGATGAGCAAGATGTCAAGTGAACTCCACTTGTTTTTTTTTTCTTTTTTCCTCCCTGTTTTGTGTACGAGAAAATACAAGTTTCTCAACATGAGAAACATTTATTGTATCTCAAAAGGGTATGTTTGTCATTTTCAGTCAATAAGTTGGATAATATTGTAATTTTGTCTGATAAATAAATGAATTCTGAGCAATAACAGAGCAGCTTCAATGAAGAACTTAAGAACAACCTTCATGGACAGAAGTTCGGTGAAGATATCGAACCGGAGCTTTAATGGAGGAGGATGATGCATCTACCCTTTAGGGTTAACCATGACCCTTATTTCTCCATTGTTTCTTAGGGTTTCGTTTAATTTGGCGGCAAAGCCGCCGAAACACGGTGGTGGAAATAGTAGTTCACGAGAAAAAAACTCGACAGCTTTAATGGAGATAGAGGTGGGTTGCGGGTTGGGATCTAAGGAAGATGATGGAGTTGATTTGTGGACAAAGATCTGAGGAAGAAGGAGACTGGAGGAAGAAGGAGATGAGGGGAAAAAGTAAATAAAATAAAATATATAAAATATTAATAAAGTTTGTTTTAATTACAAAATTGCCATGCTTGAGAAACGTTAATGTTTCTCCTATTGAGAAACTGGGGCATGCCCTTTGTGTACATGTAATAAAACAGAAAATCAGAAGTATAAGAAGAGAATATGGGGAAAATTGATAGATGATCGTAATTTGATCTTACAATCCAAGTCTCTCGAGTGTATGGACAGTTCCAAACTACAAAAAAGCTAATATGGAAAACAATTTCTGCTTGCTATGCCCCTTCCTGATATCCTCAATAACACTGGACTTCCTATCCCTCAAACAAACTCTCATGCTTACTCTAATTAACTAATTTGCATTAACAAAAGTGCTCCTTCCCCTTGTATACCAGTGTTGATCTTTTTTGTTGTTTACATCTTATTTCAGTGCTATACAAAAGCAAAGCCTGTGGTACTAGAACCAATAATGTTGGTGGAGGTTAAAGTACCATCAGAGTTTCAAGGTTCTGTGACCGGTGATATCAACAAGTAAGTGGTTTTCGTTGATCTGCTATCCTAATTATGTGAAGACTTCCTATCTGTTTGTAGTCTAATGCATTCCTTTTGCATTTTTTATAGGAGAAAAGGTCTGATTATTGGTAACGACCAGGATGGTGATGATTCTGTTATTATTGCACATGTAAGTACGATTCTTCTCACATCAAAAACAGGATACCTCAGTAAGACCTGAGAATGATGTCCTTAGTTTCAGTGCAAAAGCTGATTGTGTCTATTTTGCGAGTTACATGTTTACTTCGTTTTTTTTTTTGCATAAACAGCGTTTCATAGTAATTATAGTTCATATGCATGTCACAAGAATATTTGTAGGTCACATGTATGTTATTAGTTAATGAGAGTCAGGTGGTATAGAAAGCAAGTAGTTCTGTGTCGTTGCTTTTGGGGGTGACTTAATACTTGCGTGAATTAGGTGTGTATGAGTGAACTGTTTACCCATCTCCAAACTGATTTTTCTAAAAAAACCGTGTAGAGTTTTGCTGGAAGGATTTTGTTAGAAACTTAAAAAAACTTCACTGAAAAGTAAAATTATTAAAATGGAGCAACATCTATCTAAAAGAAAAAAAAAAAGAAAAAAGAAAAAAGGGAGCAACTTAGAAAATACAAGGAATTTGACTGTGGGACGGGGAAGAATTTAATTAATCTTGATAGTATTTTGGTGTCACATAATAGTTATCACTTTCAATGTGCGAAAGTTATTTATAGGAAAATTTATTTCTTCTCTGTCTTTACAGATCCCTTTGAACAAGATGTTTGGATATTCCACAGACCTGCGCTCAATGACACAGGTTAACTTTTTTCACCATGTATACTGCACTTCTGTTACACACGTAGTTGTGATTTAACCTTCTTTCATCTCCAACACAGGGAAAAGGTGAATTCTCAATGGAATACAAAGAACATTCTGCAGTTCCTCAAGATGTGCAGATGGAATTGGTGAATGACTATAAGGCCACAAAGGCAGCCGAACAGTAATAGATATGTTAACGGAAAGGAGAACTTTACATGATACGCTTTTTTTGGATATTCAAGATGCTCAGATAACAGTCATTCAGTTAGCATGTAGGTGAGTTTCATGTCTTATGCTGACTACAGATTTTGGTAGCTGGAATAATATGCCGATTGATATACCCCAGGGTCCTCTGATACTTGAGGAATGTGGGTCATTCCTCTAAAAGATAGATGATTTTCTTTGTATAGTTGTATGCTCACATTCTTTGTTAATTATAGTTGATGCTGTATTTGCAGTTTGGAAAACTGAGAACTCGCCCTACGCCCTATGTCCTCTTTCTCTGATAATTTGTTTTTGGCTCTTACTTTAGCTTTGGGAAAAAAGACATCACCCACCATCATCCTCTGGATTGTTTTAGACTGATAGTTCTAGTCTACTACAGTGTGGTTATAATATAAACTCTGTTCTTTTTGTAAAATAAAGAACCGAGGATACAGTTTAGCATATTACAATATTTGTATAGTCTGTGGAATTATAGCTATAGCCAAGGAGCTATATGCGTATCTTGGCACGAATAAGACTATTTACCAAACCGGAGAGAACAAAGTAACTTACTACAAAGTATTTCCTTTTTATCTTAAGTTTGCAGCGAAGTCAGCCACAAGTCTTGATCAATTTCAGATCAATTTCCCTGCCTTTCGTTACACTTTCACTCCTGCACTTGATCTTTCTTTCTTTGAATTTCCTTTACCTCTGCTAGGAGCCTAGTAGCTTTCACTTATTTCAATCAAACTACATCTGAAGGAACATGCGCAATTTTTAAGTAAATCGGCAGTGAAACCAACGCAAGACTAGGAAACCAAATAATGAGAGTAACACCTCATATATAGGGTTCACCCAGTGACCCAACCCAAACCTAGGGTGTCTTATTCTATGCAGTCACAAGCTAAGAACGTTGTTGTTTAAGTCGGACATTTTGGTTGCTAGTTTGTTGCTTGTCCAGGAGACTTGGTTGCCTATAGACTATTGTTGGTCGGAGCACAGAAACTAGGGAAGTTGTTTTGCATTTGGAAGTTCTCTAGTGAACGATTATGTATTTACACTTTTGGTACTAGGGATTAACCGTTAATATCTAATTGGAAATCAACTGGTGCTACTGATTAATTAAATTAGGGTGGAAACTAGGAAGCAAATAAAACACAGAGCAATTTTGTTGAATTATTATTGCCTTTGCCTATCATACAACATCTTTATATACACCAAGATAAATCGTTATTTGTTATTTCCATCGTTTTGGCGGTAAATGGATGGAATTTTATCCATTCAATCATATCAAAAGCCTTCATATCATTGAGGGTACTCTCATACTAACGATTGAAAATCATGCTCAAACAAATCATTGGTATGATTAATATGAAATCTTTTCCCTTGCCCTACTTTGCATGAATTTGTGATAGATTATGCATGAATTTTGACTTAAGACTTCGAAATACAATTATTTTACTACTCCCTTTGCTTTCTTATAATTGTATAGTATCACTTTTATTGCAATGTGTGTTGAGACATGACTTTGACTACTATAAATTTTATGTATCATGATTGATCCTAACAATATAGTGCATAACATGGAATTTTAAACGGAGTATATTAATAAAAATAATCATGAGAAACAGAGAGGATATATCAATATACTACTTGAATCAGCAATGTATATTAGTAATAATCATGCTTATATCCTCTCTAACTTGCCCCCCAGACTCGATTCGGAAGCATGACCTCTCTGTTTTGGATTAGTGAAGGTTGATTGTAAAGGCGGTTTTTTTTTTTATTAATAATCATGTACTAGTGCCGATGGGGTACCATTTCGCTTTCTAAATGACCTTGATATCGACTCTAAGAGTGGTGATGTTTATTTCACTGATTCAAGTTCACAATATCATCGATGGTATATATAAACTATATTAAAATTAAAATTAAATTTTTATAATTTCGAAGTTTTGCAAAAAAACCTCCTTATAAAGCAATTTTTTTTGAGTAAACCTCCTTTTATATATATATAATTTTTTTTTTCTTTTTTTGCGGAGTCATACCTTAATCAATTTTTTTTATAAAGTCATACCTTAATCAAATTTTGCAAAGTCATACCTTAATCAAATTTTCCGGCGTTGACTACCCCAACCCCACCCACAAAACCACCCCCTACTCAGGCCCATTCACGAAATTACCCCCTCCTTAGCTCCACCCACAAAACCACCTCCCATCCTCATCCCCACCAATGAAATCGAACCCCCTCTTTTCCACCACCCTGCAAAATCTAGGTTTAGGGTGTTTCGAGTGTAAATTTAGGGTTTGGGGGGCGCGACTAGGGGCGCTAGTGCCGACAGTGGAGGAGAGAACGGTGGCTAGTGTTTCGGGGTTTTTTGATGTCCTGCGGGAGAGTTACAATTCCAAGACCGACCTCTAGACACCTGCAAAACAACGGAGACTCCTGTGGGTAGAAGTTTCGCCTCCGACGATCAAGTTAGAACGTGTTTGAGGAGTAAAGTGCGAAAAGTAAAGGGTCTCTCTTGGATTCCAAGAGAGTATCTGCAATGTGCAATTGCTCAGCTCGAGGTGTCAAGTGTCTGACTTTCTCTGATTATGAGTTAATGTGTATGTGAATTAATTGTTTCTAAATGATGTTCCTCACAGGGAACATCTCCCTTTTATAGGGTGTTGGAAAACGTGCCCAGTACTAGGTTTCAGTAAATCTAGGACTGAATGGGCTTTGCCTAGGAATTTGGGCCGTTAGAGGCCAGTTTCCGGGTTGGCTATCTGTCTGCCACGTGTCGTGGCCTGATTGGTCCACCCTGGACCTCTCACGAGGTGACACGTGGTGGACTCTGGTTGGTCCACATAGCGGACACGTGGCAGAGTGGTCCACGTGGTGGGGAAAGATCCCCTAATCATTTGCCCCTCACAGGGGTGACGTGGCATGCCACGTGGCGCCTGTGACAGGTGTCCCGTTATGATTGTCTAACGGTTTTTACCGTTTTTTTTTTTTGTTTTTTTTACCCTTGAAATTCCCCCCTATAAGTAGGGGATGTCCAAATCATTTGGACATTCTAGAAACTTTTTCAGACAGAACTTTGGACTTTTGCTCTGACATTTTGGACGACTGCCGCTTGCTTTTAGACCGCCTGTTCTCAGACCACCTGCTTCTTCAGTCGCACGATTTTTCAAAAGTTCAGACTTCTCTACTCAAAGGTAACCGCCTGTTCTCTTTTGCACTTTCTCTTTGTTTTTCTTTTTTTCAAAAATGGTAGCTCAAAAGCACACGACACGACCTAGGTTAGTGATCAGCCGGTCACTGGGACGGCTGAATTTAGAACTAGGAGTGCCGCCTGTTCTCTTTTGCCCTTTCTCTTTGTTTTTCTTTTTTTCAAAAATGGTAGCCCAAAAGCACACGGCACGACCTAGGTTAGGGATTAGCCGGTCACCGGGGACGGCTGAATTTAGAACTAGGAGTGCCGACTTCCCCATGCTGACCACCCTTTGCGAACTGCCCCAAAATCCGATTGTCTATGTGTCTGCGCAGGACACCATGGCCAGAACAAAGAGAACGACCAGGATAACAAATTTAGACGACTCATTTTATGCGTTTGTTAGCGAGATCTCGGACGTGCCACTAGGCGTCCCAAGCACCCCAAGTGATTCTATTTTGGCATAATCAAGGGAGGAGGTTCAGAATGACCCTCCTATCATTGATCTATCCGAGCAGGCGGCTGCTTTGCCCGAGAGCTCGAGTGATGACTCTGAGCCCAACATCTCGAGTCGGTACTCTGACGACTCTAACGAGAAGCACTCTCGTCTACATACAGTGAGAGAAATTCATGAAGTGGGAAAAGGAGAGAAATGGGAAGAGCCGACTGCCACCCAAAGAGACGTGTATGCCCCTTACTATTGCCACGTTCCTAAAGGTAGGCGCAGGGCCATGTCTGAAAAGATTGGGAGTTTTAGGGCTGACTATGTAATGGGTCATGGTTATATTCTTACAGTGCCGGATGCCGAGGATACGATAGTCTGGCCAGAGAAGTCCAGCTACAGGGACGAGTGTTTTGGCTGCTATTAGGCGGCTATTAAAGTTGGTTTAAGATTTCCTCTACATCCGGTTGTACAAAGGATTTTCAATGGGTACCAGCTGGGTCTCTGGCAACTAGCCCCAAACTCTTGGTTCAACATCTTGGGCTATGTTTCCGGCTGTGAGATGCATGAGGTAGAGCCAAGCTTTGAAGCATTTTCTCAACTGAACTACCTCAGTCGGACCCCAAAAACAAGCGAGACCGGCTGGTTCTAGCTGACTAGCCACAAGGGCTACATGATGACCATGGGGAAGGAGAACAAGTGGAACGATTGGAGGAACACCTTCTAGATAGTCCCTCACTCTGACAAGGTCAAGAACAAGAAGTTCAATAGGTGGAACAGGGATCCACCTTACTTGATAGGCAGATCTGATCTGCCGCCTGTTCCTCGAAGAGCAAAAGAAGAGATCCTAGACCGAGGGCTCTTCAAAGTTGATATACAGGCGCACCCCAAGACTGGGGTGAGGGAGTTCATCCCTCAAAATTACATCCCAAAGTATAACTGGTTATATGATGGGATATATCTGGCCGCCTGCGGCCTTAGCGAGGAGATGCCGAGAGGTAGTGGACCGTTTGTTAAGAGTGTCTTGAAAGACTTGGTTGATTCAGCGTCTAACCATTTGATTCATCTTTGCAGATAAAGCTATGGACAAAATCTCGGCCTCCAAGAAAACAGTTGCCCAAATCTGCGCGGCCATTCTGGGCAAGCGGTCCACTGAGGAGTCGCCTGCCAAACAGGCGCCCAGGGTGAGTTACTTTAACTTAGCACAATTTCTTGTTTATATCTGTTGCCTGTTTATGACTCAATGACTTGTGTTGCAGAGCGACGTAGCCAGACCTTCCTCCTCTTCCCAGCCAGACCCCAAGGAAACAGACGACTGGGGATGTGTCAACTCTTGGCAACACTAGGAGACAGGCGGCCAAAAGGCAAGGAAGGACTCCCCAAAGCGGGGGAAGAATTGTGGCTACCCTTGGGAGCAGCCGGCCTCCGAGAGAGAAAGAGGAAGCGAGAGGTATAATTTGTTCAAATCTCCCAAGTTTCATCATGCAACCAACTCCTCTGAAATCAGGCGGCTTGCTTTCTGTTTTTACGCCGCGTATTAATCAGGGCCTACTTTGCAAATGCCCCTCAAGAGATGGACCTGGTTCAAATGGCCAAGTCCATGCTGAAGGCCATCCCTGTTGAGGATAGGGAATCTGTTAAGGGAGTCGACACTCTTAACCTTGAAGCCATCATGGCTCTCCTTGCCGAGGTATACTTAGTAAAAAGTTCTTTTTTTTATTTAAATATTTTCTTTGTCACCTGTAGCTGACGACTGTTTTTGGTCGAGTGCAGTCTATGCTGCGAGTGTATGGTCTACGCAAACCCATATTCGAAAAGAACAAAGAGGTAAAAGCTGCAAAGGCCATGACTGCCTCTGATTCTGATAAAGCTATGTTCCGGATAGCTCAAAACGAGATTCTAACCACTAACATACTGTATTACCAGGCGTCCGCCACTTTGCAGATCAAGAAGGACTTAGAGGCGGCCAAGAAGAAGATCTTGGAGTTGGAGAAGTCCGTAAAGGACCTCAAAGCTTAGATGGCGCCTCTCAAGGAGGCGGACAAGGAAGCCGAGGGACTCCGCGCCCGGGTAAATAAACTCAAGGGCCGCCTACAGAATCAAGAGGCTGACCTCACCCAAAAGCTTAATGAGAAAGCTGGCGAGGAGAAGATGGCCATTGTCCAGGATATGATGGACAACTGCTGCACCATTATGAAGATGACCTGGGCGGCCCTCTTCCTAGAGTCCGGCTATGAAAAATGGGAGAGCCAATTCGCCGCCTGTACTGATCAATACAACAAGAAGATCATGGAGCAGGCAGACGGCGAGGAGGATAAGGCGTCTGACTCCACTTCCGGGGAGTCGGACCAGGAAGAGGATGATAAGGAGGAGGCGGATGCCGAGGAAGAGCCGCCGCAGGAGGAGGCGGATGCCGAGAAAGAACAGTCGCCGGTTGAGGATTCAAACCAAGCGGCTGCCGACACTGAACGTCCTCCAACTGTTTGAACTCCCATTTTTCTTATATGTCAACTTTCTTCGGCCTGTGTGCCGCTTGTTCTGTATCATTACCCGACCAAGGGGCCGGGGTTTATTGACAATTTCAATTTTTAACATTTCTTGTCGGTCTCCTGGCCGACTGTTAATATTAAACATCCGACCGTTTTTGCCGGTTTCTCCAAATTTTGAAGTTTTTGAAATTTTGCTTTTCATGAATTTTGCTAAGTGTATGTAGCTTACTTCTTGTTTTCATGAATGCTTTATATACTGACTGTTCTTGCCCCTAGGCGACTAGCACCTGGTTTTCGAAGGTGAGTTGATTGACTTGGAATTTTTGATACTTTGAGTATTACTAATTCTAGGTCAATCAATCACTATAGTGATTGCCCCAAACCAGGCGGTCAGTCGGCCATTGCCCAGGTGAGCACCTAGCATAACTCGGCTCTCGGCCTTATAGTAAACCGCAATATACTAAGTTTGTACTTAGTTTATTTTATTGATCGCAAATAGTCCGTCTGCTTGGTGCTTGTACAGAACAGGCGCCAATCTGGATGTTTTTAACCAAAGTAGCTTCCACGGTGTTGCTAGCCTAAATAGGAATATTGGCCGAATGCCGTCTATTTATTACAAGGACAGGCGGCTTCATTCGTACCTTTTAGATTCCATTGTAGGTTGGGTGAGTGACTATAAGTTAACCTTTTGAGGTTAATCAGTCTCCGTCACTTGAACTTGAGTAAATAGAAGAATCAGTCGGCCGTGGCCGCATGTTGTTTTTCTGTTTAT